AATTTTTGACAAAATTACTACTTTTAAGCTTTGTTATTATTATTTAAATTATTTATTCCAGTATAATTTAAAATTATTTGACTTAAAATCATATAACTGTATTATTGGACTTCTTAATGGTCTTCTTATCTCCTGTTCAAGAGCCAGATAAATCAAGCAAGACTGACAGTTTGTCGTTGTAATTTATGTACATATACAAACACTTGTTCATTCACTTATAACTGGAAGCCTAACATTAACTGTAAAAGTATAAGTTTACCTGAGACATTTGCTTTCGACAGGGTTTTATTAGGTACAAACAGTTTTCTTGGATTATAATTTTCAAAAAATTTTAAAAATTACTACTAGTTGAAAAAGCTGGTATATAGGATGGTCATAAAGTAACTTGATCAACTAGAGATGATCCTGGGAGCACGGAAAGTGAGAAATCTGTTGAAACTTTTTTGTTTTAAATATGGGGTGACATGCTTGCAATACACCGAAATAGGGATAGAACATGTATTACAGTTAGAGTCAATTTAACTGTATATTGAAAATTCCTAATACAGACACTGGGAATTCATAATGTCACTAGATTCTGTATGACAGAAAACTGCATAATACATTGGAATGGTGTGTGTAGAAAGAGATAGCTGTGTTTGAATAATGGGAAGGGACCAAGACAATACCTGTGACAGAAGACCCATACTGGTTTGTGGAAGTGGCAGCACCATAGGTAAGGTTTAGAAGCATTTGTCAAGTGGAATTCAGACAAAGTGCACATTCTCCCATGTTCTGCTTTGAAATACATAAAGGATGAGTTTACTTGCTACTACACATTACATCAGCCTGTTCAAGATTTATGACATTTATTGTCCCTGGTAGAGCAAACAATGGCACCTGATATAACTTATTTTCTTTCAAGCTGGAGTTATGTCTAAGTCCTTTGTTACTTAACTTCAAGTTTAGAAATCTGAGATCTTCGGCATTTTGGCAATGTAATCATCAAGTACCTAAGTTTTAAAATATTTTAAATCTGTAGGTACAACCCCGACAAAAATAATCTCAGACAGCATGTTATTTTAATCCATTTCTAACTTATCCTTCAATAATATCAAACAGAAAAATTTTGTACACTTATAATTATTTTATATTAGTAAACTTTTATTATAACAGAGGATTTTTTACATAAAAAATTCTCATGTTGATAATACATAAAAAAGTTATGAGCAGTTGA